AAAAGTTCGGGGAATTTGAGTTCCACGCGCGAACCGGTTGTGGAATGGCCTGCCGCCGCTAGATGGGGCAAGAGCCGTGAAGGCGAGAGGCCGCATTCTTGAGTCTCGTGCGTTTTTGTAACGTTGTGTTGTAGTGGTTTGGTGATTTTTTAAATGGCAGATTTTAAGGAGCAAAGAATCTGCATCAAATTTTGCTTTAAGCTTTAAAAAAAATGCTATGGAAACCCACCGAATGCTTGCGGAAGCATTTGCTGAGAATGCTATGAGTCAAAGTAACACTTTTTCTGCTACAAACGCTTTAAGGATGGACGAACGTCTGTCGACGACGATGAGCGTTCAGGACGACCATCGGCAAGCACAAAACCGGAAAATATCGCGAATTTGTCCCCCCCCCCTGGTCAAACTGTCAACAGGAAGTTTTATTGTGAAGTTTTGAAACGGCTACTGGAGAGCATTAGGCGCAAACGTCCGGAAAAGTGGGAGAACAATAGCTGGGTTCTCCACCACGACAACGCACAACAGTTTTGGCTTCCAAAAACACGACAGTGATGCCCCACCCACCCTATTCGCCTGACCTCGCCCCCTGCGACTTTTTCCTGTTCCCCAAAATGAAATTTCGATTGAAATACCGTCGTTTTGACACAATTGAGGAGATCCAGACAGAATCACAGGAGGTGCTTAAAACACTCGCACTTGAAGACTTCCAGGGATGCATGGAATCATGGAAAAAATCTGGGATCGCTGTATCCATGCCCAAGGGAACTACTTCGAAGGAGACGGTGGAAACTAGGAGTTGTGATAAGCAATTTTTTTGGGGCAAATTCCCTGAACTTTTGAGTAGAACCTCGTACCTTCCATAAGTCACTGTAACTCCGACGCACCTCACGTTTAATGTCGCGATGTAAATGACATTTGGTGCTTTTGATTTCGAGTTCGTGGTTCGATTGTCGCAGCTGATTTGTTGTCATGGAGACAAAAGTTAAAACCACCACACTGACACCATTTATGTTCTATTAGAGGTTTTGTGTCCTCAGAATTATAATAGAGGACTTCAGTTTGTAATTGTATCAGCATTGATGCCGCCACGCTACAAACCATTCGGTCAGTCGTGTCGCACGTGCGTCTGCGACTTTATGTAGCCTAATCGGTCTGTAGAGAGGTTTGAGAAGACTTTGTTGACAGGAACTATCTTGATTTGTGAATCAGGAGGGACCGGGTAGATCTGTCGACCAAATTAACACCTTCTCGTTGGCGTAGTTCCTTACACCTACCAGAACAATTTCGTCGTTGCTGACTACAGCACATGTGCAACTATCCTACATGACGCTTGAAAATAAGCCAAATCTCGAATTTGTAAACGTTAAGAAAGGAAGACAAAGACGGAAAGAATCAGAAATCGCTCTCGACCGTCGTATCAGTATTTTAATTATGGTTCAAGCGTTAAAAACTAAATTTTAATCTTTTTAAATAAAAAAAAAACTTGCTAACCGTGACGGACGAACAGCATCTCTGTATAATCGAGGCAGGCTGTGCTTTGAACATGTCCTCAGGAGGTTCGAGTGTTCTCGCAATAAGAACCCTGAGGACTCGATACGATAGCCAGATCGTTTACACCACGACAAGCTCATGTATAAATGTTTCTGTCCAACTTACCATTAAGAGTCACAAAATGGCAAATTGGATGAAGCACCGCACCGGGATTCAAACCCATGTACACTGACTGTGACGTCATATGCCTAGAGGTGCGTGACGGACCGGTTCGCTTCCCGGCTGACGCAATTTCCTGTAGGTCGAAATACTATCTTACCTATGTGAGGGTGTGGGGACACTCAGAAAGCCACCAGGTGTAGCCCTGGTCCGGTGACCAGCTGTCCTATTAGGCCACAGCCTCGTTCTTGAACCCACAAATTGTTTTATTGGGCGCTGTGTAATATATATGTTTTACAGATCATTAAATGAGGCGAGAAATAACTTTGTACGCCCCTGTTTTTTTAGATATACCAACAATGACTAATGATTCTTGCCAAGGTCAGTAGCAAATACTGAATACCCCTAATCGTATATTTTGAGCAATAAATTTTGAGATAAACTGACACATTGTGTCGTCATTTGAAAGTACTAACATGGCGTAGGGTGTAACTTTTGAGGTTATGTTTGTGTACGTGTTCTGTGTGCTGTGCGCAGTTCTCAAGGGTACCCATATTCCTGTATCTCCATCGAGCCTTAATCTTATCTCGCTGTGCGTCTTTGCCAGCCTCGATCAGTATCTTAGAACAGTGAACACTAGACGCGCCGAGGCAACGTAGCGTGTGATGTGATCGTGCGGGATGCCTACCGTTTCCGCTCTACTGTCAGGGAGTGTGTCCGTGGGGATCCTGGCCGGACTGGTGTCGGGACTGTTCTACCTGGTGGTGACAGGGATCCGATGGGCGGGGTGAGTACAAAGCAGGGAAACCCAGTGTCTCGGTAGTGTGTAGATAATGTAGTATCACTCGAATTCGACCAAAAGGGAACAAGACATCTTAGGATAATGTAAGTAACGTAGTACCTCACATGTATGAGTAGCATGAACATCACGAATACAGCATTTACAGGTAAGCGATGCAGTGTTTCACATAATTTAATAAAATTAAGACATGAAAAAGATTAGGGACCGATTAAAGCCGTGTGATTTGAGGTTTACACAGTATGAAGATTTCTGTCTTCTAGGGCGATGAATCGCCCTGATGACGGAGGCAGTATGACCTCTGAAACGTTGGTTAACATCGACCAGACTACACGGCGCAACAGCCCAGAAGACAGAAATCTTCAGTGCCTAAGTCATTCAGATCATAAAGAAGATCGGTGTTGGTGTTACTTGCCTTGAAACTATTACCACGCCATTTTATAAAGTCAGAAAACGTTGCTGCTGTGTTGTTGTTAGAAGAAGGTTAATATTTCGATCCTAGCATAAATTTCTGTGTGAAAGAACCATTACTTACTCTCGATGTTGTATCCAACACACCCCAAACGCCTTTGATCAACATTTAAAAATGTAATCACGTGATGTAAGTTTAACTATAAATGTTAAACGTGATTAATATTTGGTTAGTTCCTTATATAACCGAATATTTCAAATGAATAATTTAATTCTGTTATATAATGGCAGTTACGACAGAGCGACTCCAAGGACTAAGTATCTGTGGCGGTGTATGTCAGTTCTGGAGTCATTTCAAAATGTTCCTTATTATCTGTATTTGCCAGTGTCAATTTTCAGGTAAACCAAAGTGCGTTTAATATTTTACATCATCTCGTTTTGCACACACTAAACGTAAAGACAATTTTATTTTGCTTTGAAAGTGGTGTTTGGCGAAGTTTCCCACATTTGCTCCTGGTGGCTTTTCATTATAGTGATCATGCTGTTACTGTTTCATTAATACTGTAAGAAAAAACAGCTGACTGTCATCCGATTTCTGTTGTCATAGGGTGTGAATAGGAGTGGCATTTACGACGATGAGAGAAGAGTGTGGCGATAATTATGTGAAGTAGAAGGAAGTTTAGAAATAGGTGGGACGATCCAACAAAGTCAATGCGCATTATTATTTTTATTATTTTATTTTATTTATTTTTGACTGCAAATGGGTTTTTACCCGGCGGCAGCCATTGTCTACAGCGTGCGCTGTTGTTAAGGACCAGATCGATAAGCGTGCCCAGGACAACCGAAGAAGATGAATGGCGTGAGAAGAAGGTGCAGAAATATTTTAATCTCCAGCTAAAAACGTTTTTTGTGCATTGAAGAGCAGAGCTATAACATAAAAAATATTTTTTTTTATAATTTTGTTAAAATTTATAATAACAAAACTACCTTCACATCGGAAAATCAAAAAGACATCTTCCAACGTTTCATCGTTATGTTTCCACGTAAGAACACATATTTAGCTAGTCTCCATACAGTTTTTCGGTGTTGTCCTTATTTTTATAAAGTCCAATAAACTACTAGGTCTTTTTGGGCACGAAAATGTACGCCGCGTCTCAAACGAACATATTATGAGAACTTCACTGTGCTATTTGGCGGGACATTATATTAAGAAAATGTGAAGTGTTTCTCACTTCAGTGGCTAAAGCGTTTTTCTGTCCGAAGATGGCTGTCTTTTGGGTTAGCGCCGTATAGTCTGATAGAAATTTACCAGCGTTTCAGAGGTTCTTCCTGCCTCTATCATCAAGGCGATAATTGTCCCTCTGAGACGCCATCTTCTACCAGACTACACTGCGCTACAACTCAGAAGGCAGCCATCTTCGTTTCACCGTAATGAGAACCTCAAATCCTAATTCATACATTCAGTGGGCCTGTTTATAGAGCAGAAGCCTTGTTAAGGAAGCTAGTTGGTTAATTGATCAAGATATGGAACGCGAAGGCTCACTGCCATCTTCACGAAAGCCCACCATTTGACCATATACTGAGCCAACGCCCTCTACATTTCCATGTCATGTTCCTACAGCGTTGATCGACCGGACGGCGAAATATAACCATTCACTTCCGCTTAGAGCCAATGTTAAGAATAAGACACAAATAAAGGGGGATGAGATTGTCGGGACAAAAAGTACACGTGGTACAGATTATAAATGCATACATCATTTTGATCGGAAACCCCTCATGGAGGACACCATTTTAAAGACTTGGGCGCAGAAGAAAGAATGGTGGACTGGATTCACCTTGCTTTGTAAATACGGTAAAAGATGAGTTATTTTTTTACTCTCTGACCGACTATCAGCTTATGAATGACTGTACTTCATGGAGTGAATGACTGGTGGACTGACAAGGACGAAGGTTTGTGCAGGTGTGAACGTAGAGGGGATGTTGGCAGTTTCATGCGGTTCAGTAAGAGTCAGTGCATTCTAGGCAGATTATCGTCTTGTTCCCAGTCCCTCCAGGCATGACCATTCAGATGTTCTTCTTTTCATTTGGAAAATTTGCGTACTCTTGTTTCTGTATGAACACGCAAATGAACTTAAAATTCATATTAATGTCACAATCTTATACTTTATTCTTACATTTTCGTATGATGATTCCCTTACTTAAATTACATTGTGCAAGATTTTAGGTTTTCTTGGCGGTGAAAATGTGTATTGTTTGTTTTGCGTCTTCACGCCGTGTTTTGTTACAAACGTTTCGGGGGAAGTCGCCTCTTCCATTTTCACGTTCCACCGAAACCACCACGATATTTACCTGAAAGACCACATAGTATCACAACACGGATAACCACAAACGATGTGAAGAACATTAGAACCACTCTCGTTTTCATGGCTCAGTAAGTCTCATACATAACCTATATGTCTGTACCAGAGGCCTAAGGTTCCAGGTGGTTGGTGTGTGCTGCCATCTGAAGACTTAGTAATGTTGACTGGTGCCCCGCTCTGTGGAACGGAAGGGGTACTGCTAGTGATAACATGGCATAGCGGCTTACACAACAGTGGTCATTACCATTCTACTCACAGACTTTCTGCTAGGCTAGTGGACGACAGACAATCTACAATGGTTTTTTAAATCCGTAAACTTGGTTTCCTTTACTGGAATAGCCACTCACAACATAATATTCCCGACAACTCCTGAATTTTGCGTTATATTTTATTTCCGGACAGAGACAGAAGGGAAAAAACAAAACAAACAGTAGCTATCTATGTATCGAAACATGAAGTTCTCGGAAGAATTATTTGTGAATTCCATTTTCTATTGTTTTATTTACACAACGATTCGTGATGTCTGCCGACACAATTTCGCCTTTGCCTGAATATCCAAATACTCAAATCGTTACCTAATCGATACTTCGTATAAACAGAATTGTTCTATACGTAATTTGCGGGTATGTTTAAATGTTTACCTTTCCCTTTTCAACGTTTTAGCTAGTGAAAATCAAGTACAAATTTTAAGCAATATAATTGAAAATTAAGTATACATTTCGTTCGATCGCCATATTGTTAAGTTAGGTGTACAAAAATAAATCGATGTCTCGACACATAGGATTTCACTTCTTACATTGGTGCCATTTAGTGCTGTGATACGGGGTTATGGTCTTTAACGTCACTGTCACCCACAAAGACATAGTCTTCATACCATATGCCAAATGTTATTCAAATATTATCGAGCGTAATGACTGGACAGACATAAACAAGGCACTTGGGTGAGGAAATGAGGATACGATTTGCAGTCAGGCGTTCGAAAACATTCAGACACACACAACCCCAGTTGCAGCAAGTTGTCGAGGTGATTGGCTACCGGCGAATTCAGTAAAAGTCCAGTGGCCTACACATCGTGGATAAAGAGCCGAGTTATTTAACAAATATTTTCCGTGCTACAAACGGTATTTATCGCTCTTACTTGTGTGTTATATGTGCTTGACATTATCAGTACAAGATAACATGCCCTAAATGTATTATTTGCCATGAATATACAGGTTTTTAAATTTATATGACACATTTATTAGTGATATGAAGATTATTAAACAATTAAAATACTGTGTGGAACATTCGGACGGAAAGTTCAGTGAACGAAGATAACGCAGTTTCTTTCTTAAAAATCACCTCTTTCAACTGTTTTCCACCAGAGATGATGTATTCCTGACGTCATATCAGCATAGTTTTAATTACTGTTGCAGTGTGATGTTTTCCTTCGGTTCATCGGCATATTTT